AACTGAGACTGTAACGGTCTCTTATTTTCAAAAGCATCTACTGATATCTGCTCATATTTGTCTTCGTTTTGATAAGTGTATTTTGCAATTTATTTATAAACAGAATCCAGTAGTAATATTTTATATTCATAAGTTTTTTAAAACACTTATTTTCATGAATTCATTAGTATTTACTCGGACGTTTTTGGATAGGTCGGAAGACAAACTTTATCAGATTATAGGTAACATACAAGTTATGTAATAATGAGTTACATACTGTGGACGATTCTTGTTTCTTGCAGCAAGCCATCTTCACTCCTATGAAGGCAATAATCTTGAATACATAAGCATAGTATTCTTGTATTATACATTTAATAACATCAATCAACGGGCGAGCATCCATGAATTTCTTCTTGGTCACCTCCAATGTGTGCCGTGACTCTGATTCCAAAATAATGTCCCACCTTGAAACATTTAAGATACTTCTCTAAAACTACACTTCTTTCAGTATCATTCAGATAAGTTTTGAAAAGGTACAAGGATTTTCTTCACAGTAGGCGTATGAGAAGAAAGATCAACACGTACAATCTCACACACCGAACAACTCTAAGAAAAAATAACATTTGGAAGAACATTACTTATGAACTCTTTATACTTTGAAAATTTTATTTGCATTTGTTTCTTTGATTACTGTATTTGCTTCACATTGCCCTGCAATCATGGCCACCTTTATCACAATTCAGAGAATAAACAATTATTTCGATAGAGGTCCAACATAAACAGTGTGACCTTAGTACGTGAGTGATCGAATATCCAATAAACGAACCGAAAAAAATATTAATCATACTCAATTGCTTTACAAGACATTTAATATAAAAAATATAAAATTATTTACATGATTTTTATCTTAACTCGCATTTACATATTGTTTCATATTTCTCAACTTTGTGCTGAAATTAAAGAATTATTCTTTAAACACAAAGAATTGATCAAGGCTGCGCAGTCAAATAAAAAATACACACGACAGCAAAGTAAAATGTATTTTAATATTTTACATAATATAATATAATTGATGTTTTGAACTTTAAATATCTTTGAAGTGATTGCTTTAAAATGGATGAAAATGTTTGTAATAAAACATATTTTAATTGTATTTTTTAGAAGATGTTTTTTCAATTCCCCCCCCCCCCATCGCCTCACCGCTTGTCCGCTATTTTTGGGAAGATCTGGCAACTCTATCAGCAATTCTGTGGTGAACATTTGTTGCATCTCGTTAATATTGTTTGAAGCGAGTACCATTTCAATTATATTAAAATCGATTAAATCTGCGAAAATGCATTAAAAATTAAGTAAAAGGTCAAAATGACTTTTTAGTCGAATTCGACGAAATATCCAAAAAAATTATTTTATAAAAATGGGTCTCTTCATTTCGTCATAACATAAAATGAATTTCTATATTAAACGGCATTGTTCTAAAGTGAAAAGAAAAAATTTGACATTTCATTAAAATCTACCCCCTACTTGTAACTATTACTTCAATTTTTCTCTCACGATAATAGATGATTTGAACTTGTGCTTGAACCAAAACAACATTTGTAACATTAGTATTTACATTTTAAACATATTTTAGTTGGAAAATTAAAAAAATAAAATTTTAATTGGTTTGAATGTTTAGTTTTTGGTTCATGTACTAGCTGTGTATTTCTGAATCATAACAAAACAATGAATCAAAGGGTATTAATAGATAATAACCTTACATAGAATCGGAGATATGATGTATCAGGTTTCCAATGATAGACAAAAGGTCAACTTTCGGGGAAATGGCTTTAAAGTTTGTAAAACTCTAGCAAGCTCCTGTGTTATAGGTTATGCCTTCTTTTTTATGTGTATTTCTTCTCTTATTTTCTTTCTTCCTCTTAAATATCTTCTTCGTTTCTTATTTTCTGTTGTTGTTTGTTTTTAGCTTTATTTAATTTTTTTAAGGGGGACCATTTCCCATTTCGGGAAAGTGGGTGTGGTTCCCCTAACGCCGGGCTATATAAATATTCGAAATGAAATGAAACGAAAGATCGCAGAATAAAACGGGTTTCGTCATGTTAAAGAGAATATATATATACTGATTCTGATAAAAGTTAAAAAACGATTTTTTAAATTGTTTCCTGATTTTGAGGTATAAAATACCTTAAATTATTTCAAGTGAAGTTTCTCGAAAATTGAAACGTTGTCTTTGGAAATAAAATTCGAATTGCGCATTTTCAAAAAGGTTCAAACGACGTTTCTTTTTTTAATGGCTACAAATATTTCAAAGACATTTACATATATGACTAGCGTCAATTCTTCAATTATATTCCTGAAGTCAAATTTCAAATCTACCATTAGGAGAATGAAGAATGTGAAAATATGTATTTTAGGCGACAATAATTAGCAGCTGGGAAGAGGGTAGGGCAAAATGGAAAAGCTAGCCAACAAGCAAGAGGAAAGGAAACTAAATAGTATGAGAAAGTATTTGCCATTCGTCGTACATCTATTATTATTCGACAAATGTTTTACATGAAAGACGTATGGTATTCCAAATGTTTACCCGGATATATTTGCGAAAGCCTTGCTATCGAGATTCACTTCGAACGAAAGAGAAGGCTTTAAAAATAAACTGGAAGAAGTTGTTACTTAGTGTTCTAATGTATATTGCGATACTGTGCACTATTCATTGCTAGACAATTTCAGATAATATGGTTCTTTCATTTTCAATATGACGTCATTTAAGATTTATTTCAATATATTGTAAATTAATTTTTTAATTGCTATTGTAAATTTTTTTTAAAATTGTGATGCGATGTGGCGATGTTCTCGAAGACCCTGATGCAGAATATAGTTTAATTTAATTTAATTTGATTTATTTAGTCAATGAACAGAAAAAATCTGTATCTAATAGATGAGGAAGAAGTACCATCAGCGCACATTTTATTGAGCTCCGGATTCTTCCCAACATTTTAACTATAAATAGTTGAATGATCAATCTAAGTTTTTAATCTAACTTCAATAGGTAGACATTATCTTTTATTTTATTCCGTAAGATTCCCCATCTCTGATTCCGAAAACGAGTTCGTAAGATTTATGTTCTTAAACCACCTGAGGTAGAACTGGCAATAGCCATAAATCATGTGAAACAACGGTTTGCCCATGTATCCGTTCTGTTTTATTACCGTTTTACAGCGCGTATTGTACGAACACAAGTTGTACACAATCGTTTCCAAAGTGCGGTGTCTGATCGGGCGGTAGTCGTCGGGAAGTCGCTCAGCTGAACACATAAGTGCGTAAACATTCACTCGCCGCCGTGGACACGTTTACCACTAGACACTAGTACATCTTTTCATGGTAAAAATTCTCCCACAAGCTGACGCAGCTGTAATCCAATAACAGCTGAACCTCACACAAAGGAAGACCATTAGTGAGGTTATAACGGAAAATAACTATATATTTTCGGTTCAGAAAACTGAAAATGTGAAATTTCATTACGTCGTTCAGTAGTTATTTTCGAAGACGTTTGAACTGATAGATTTACAAATTCTGGAATAATATATTTACTATTCACAGTGAACACAGAGTTACATAACATGTTTCTGAAAATGTAATTGAAGCGTTTTATAATACCCCGATCAGGACAGGAAATCATACTATATTCCACTGTAATTTAAAAATCTAATACGTCATATATAATTATAATCTGAACTCTTTTTTTGTGAACACATGTCAGACGATTCCTGGACATTGCACAATTATACACTCACTACTTTAAGCATTTAAAAATGTTCAATAATCTGTGAACTTCGCAAAACAAAACGACCAAGACAACAAACTACATGGAATACAGTAGTGTTAAAAACAACGTGATGAACAAATTATGGAAAATGAGTATTTATTTCATTCATTTTATGATTCTATGAAAATTGAGTGATTATACAGTTAATAATAGCCTCCGATAAGCCACCTAGACACACTGTCTTTCATTTAAAGCAAAGTCACGAAATTTGTTTGAGAAGAAATTTCTAACTGGCGAGAAGAGAACCAATCTGATCCAAGTAGCATTCTCATCATTTAGAGAAACCGAGGGAAACGATTTTGTGTTTGGTTTAAGAGAACGGGAGAAGGGAAATGGAGATAGAGAAGTTCCTACAGAAGTTGATGGTCTCTGCGCTTGGATCACTGGCATGAAAATTATATAGTTTCTTCCATGTATCGATGCGAAAATCGCATAAAGGACAAAAAGTCACCTACTTTTGTAAAGTTCTACTGTCCCCAATTAGTTTCTAAACAAAAGCTCGTAGTGTTTGTGTACTTTTGCAACTTCTAAAATAGGCAAAATTATGGAAAATAATTTCAATTATTTTTTATTTCTAGCCCTTACTTTGAAAGAAAAAGTATTTTAATCTTGCGACGGAAAACAGCAAATTTTCAACGGAAAATCTTATTGCCGGACCTTGATAACGAAAAGTGGATAAATCTTATTCCTATGAACGTCAAAAATTCACATTTTCCGGGGCAAGGTTACAATACTTTCACTTTTTGCGAAATAAGGACGAGGAAGTGCAATGAATGAAATATGTTCTTTTTAACTTAAAGCGCCAGAAAATATTTCTCTCTCCACAGTTTATGACACTATTTACCTTTAAATGAACAATGTTTTTTAAATTTCAAGGAATGCAAAATACGAATTTAGGCAAAAATAGGACTTTATCGTAAATTATGCAAAATAAATAAAATTAGAAAATCGATATTTGAACCACAAAGATATACAATTCATTAAGATTAGTTTTAAAAATCTAGGTAACGTGTATGGTTAAAAAAAAGGCATTTGCCTCAGTTGCTAACTTTATTTACCAGGCATTACCAATAAAGCTGACTTACGGGAAGACTCGTTTGATGATTGTGGCTTACATCTCCGAAACTGAAATAATTTAGAAGGGAGCTCTAAAGGAAAAGGAAATAATGAATTTAAATAAAAGGAACTACAATAAATTCAAGTCGTAAAAAATAAATTCACATTTGTTTATTAACTTATTCCAATCGTAGTTTTTACAAATTGTACGAAGTGTTGTAATTCTGGATATACGGACTAAACAATAAGTTAACTTACTTCAGAGAGTGAGGGATTGTGTCCCAAACTTATTATTTGTAACATAATGTGTTACTTCATTTATCGTTATTTCAACAATACGTTAAACACAACATTATTCTGTAGCGTCGTCTTTAGTAACTTGGAAGGGAGTAGAGACCACTTCCGCCCCACTGTCGGCAATGACGACATCTTTCAGGGGCCGATCACCAGAATTGGTCCTCTGGCTTTCGATTTTGCGGAACACGTCCTAAAACAGACGGCGATTTGTCAATAGTAAAGTATCATAAAATATATGTCAAAACATCAAATAGTTTTAAAAAAAGTTTTGGGTTTGTGTTCTGAAACAGTTTACCTTTATTTTTATTAAAATATATTAATTTTTTATGTATTAAATACATAAAAAGTCTGAACTAAGTATTACTAATGTGCACAACCAAGATATGTTCAGTTTCTCCTGTGATATTTAGGCGTAATGTTGAAGAATTAAAAGAATTAGCAATTTGTCTGAGGTATCTTATAAAACAAAAGAGAATATCTTCTGTTTCAGAGGTACACATTTCACATCTGTTGTTGACACGAAGTCGCATATCGAAATGTGAACCCAACGAAACAAGTAACACTAAAGATTCTTTAAACCAAAGTACTTTCGTATATTGAAAATTTAACAATTTGTTTCAGTCTTACTGTTGCAAGGGATTTTAAAGATTTTGGTGTCAGTGTCACAGAACTGGTAACGATATAAAAATATTTGCAATGCACTCACCATCCCTCGAATTACTTTGCCGAAAACAACATGACGTCCATCCAGCCACGGAGTAGCCTTCGCTGTGATAAAGAACTGAGAACCGTTAGTGTCTTTGCCGGCATTCGCCATTGAGAGCCAACCAGCGCCGTAATGCTTGAGATCAAAGTTCTCATCAGCGAACTTTTCACCGTAAATACTCCTGCCTGCATTGAATCAACAAACGAAATAAATAAATAAAAGAAAAGCATGAAATAAATGAATTTCTCGTAATTCATTTTATTACTTCACAAATCGTACCTCCAGTACCATCTCCTCTCGTGAAATCGCCTCCTTGAATCATGAATCTGGGAATAACTCGATGGAATTTGCTCTTCTTGTACCCTTCACCTTCAGGCTTTTTCGCTAGTTCAAAGAAGTTCTTTACGGTCTTCGGCACCGTTTTGCCGAACAATCCAATTTCAATTCTTCCCTCAGGGTTTCCACCAATTTCAATATCAAACCAGACCTGGAACATTGACCATTTATCAAATAAAAATTCGAGGCATGTTTTCATGAAGGTCTTCAACCCCGAGAAATTTTTTCCCGAAGGCGACACAGAGAGAAACACCCATCCAGTCCTCTCGCGAAAGAATCGTTCCGCGATCTCACCTTGTGTGTGACTTCGAGATTTTCCGCCGCTTTCGCAAAAGTCGCCGCCAGCCCCACACCCAAGAGGAGCAGCAGAAGCGGCGTCTGGCCCGACGGCGTCATGTTGAAGCGCTGAGATGCTCTGCTGTGCTGAGCGGAGCGGGTGCTGCGGCTAGTGGCGGTGCAACGACTGCGCTGGGCGGCGCGTTCACCCGCCGGGCGGCGGCGGAGGCGGCGGCGGAGGAAGAGGAGGCAGGCAGAGCGGTGCCACGTGGCCGCGCTTTCACGCCCGACTGTCTGCCAGAGCCGGTCTTGGATTGGAGCCTTTCTCCCAGCCGGCCCTCGCCAACGGGACCTCGCGACCAAGGCCTCCGGCGCGCCAACTGACAGGACGCAGGGAGGGAGGGAATCGCAGCTGATGGAACGTGTTAAGCGAACCTCCGCCCACACAGTCTACTGCTTCCAGTCACAATTGTTTTTTTTTGTTTTTTTACGTTTCCCTTGCTGGTTGTTCTCGTTATTTCGCATCTAAACTGTTCGCAATAGTTTTTGTGTTCTTCTTGTAAAGGAAATCCCGTTTCCTTGTTTTTCGATTAAATTAGTTAATGTTTCATGGGTGACCTTATCCTGTCCCTATTTTGAGGCTTTGGGAACTAGTAATTTGCTGAAACGAGGTGGCAAATTAGTCTCACTTTTCCTCAATATGAAACAAGAGACGAGAAAAAAAAACGTACAAAATGTTAACGTTTTAATTGCGATACTGCTGCATTCTGGCATAGAGCAACACTGGTGTATTTTTTTAAAAATAATCTGTAATTTCGGCTAACAATTTTGACTTATGCGAGGTGTCCCCATACTCTTCAAGTGCTTCTGAACTCTGTTTAATACGAATTCAAAACAGTGCAATCTTCTCGTTTCGTTATAAAACTAGCGGGTGCTACACACTGGCGCAGACTTTCTCGCACTATGTAGTTTTCTCTTTAGTCCAGGTTAGCTTTACGGTATTGCACATCTTCTTCCTATCTGCTACTTATCGACGCCGAAAATATTTTTTTCTTTTCATTTTCTCATTGTTGCCTTTAATAGTATGAGAATTGAAATATTACTTTAACAATATTATAGAAGTATAAATTTTATAGTATAGTATTTAAAATACAATAGTATTTTAAATAATACATTTGTGTAATATTTGAAAAACAAAATATTACATCAGATTACCATTTATGTTATGTTTCGCAGTACACTTACCAGTTCCCGTACAAAAAAATTCAACAAAAAGGAGTAATTTTTGAGAAAACCATGTTTTTTTCATATTATCCATTTTTACTCAAAATTGCCGATTTAAAAATGTAGATGACATGAATAAAAGTACAAAACAGTGGAGAGAAAAAAATTCATCTGAAGAAAAATCCGTATCTTCATTACTGTAGTTTTAGAAACCGAAAAAATTCGAACTTTTGCAATTTTCAAAATGTACACGTAATAGTAAAAGGATGACGTATGCTATCTTTACAAGTGTATTTTAAGAGAAGCATCTTTACTAATGTATTACAAAAAATTAAAAGAAACTAGTGGTGCTACAACAGCACATACTTTCTCGCATTGTTTCTAATTGCTCCGCTATATTGTTTGTATTTAGCCATTATATGTCCCACAAAGGGCAATTACCCTCGGCGCTGATAGATAATTGCCGCCGGAACAGATTTCATTAAAGGAAACAATTTCTATAATATTTTAGTTGTAGGAAGACGCCAAAAAAGTTTGAACTGTTGTAATTTTCGAAAAATCAGGGTTTTTAACAATCATGAGAATTGCACCATTGTCTTAAACGTCCTGTACACAATCACACAACAAAATTTAATCAAAAACGATGGAGCAATGTTTTTGAAAATTTGAATAATGTCCTAGGAGCTTCAAGTAAAGTACAGCCTAAAATTAAAATATCGGTATCAAATTCAAGGGGTAGCTACATCGGCCAGATCAATTGAGAAATATCAATTTTGGAGCAACTCGTCTTAACGGTTTTGCCGCTGGCATTGTTCATAGACCAACAGACGTTTTGCCGTCATTCGATTTATCGGTATCAAGAACCCACAAAACATGGCTCTTAGCTAGTTTACGTGTTAGAGATTTTTTATCCCCAAATTTAGCAACTGGATTTATCCACTTTTTCAGTGCTAGTGCCCTGTAATTAACTGGTTTTCTGCCGAAAAATTGCTGTTTTTCGCGCAGCATTATATAAATTTCTCTCTAATCCGTAGCGAGAAAGTTAAAATACTTAATATGCATGCAACAATAATGTACTTCAGCTTCCGGGTCAATCACCCCATTTCAAAAAGGTTTTTTGTCCTGTTTCCCTGATTAATCGTGGAAATACAGTTTCTATATGCGCACGTTTTATTGAGCTCTCTTTTTGCAAGTTGTTGAAGGAGTAGAGCCGGGGGTATGTTAGTATTATAAATATTCAAAATTTTAAATTTTGTTAGCATTATAAAATCATTAAATATGCAATTCATTTACAGATGCAAATGCGATTTCTATAACTCGGGTGCGACAATGTTTGGTTTTCAAGTGATTCTAACCTCGCTTTTTTTAAAAGTTTTATTCATCATTCAACTATTTATAGTGAAAATGTTGGAAAGAGATTCTGGAGAACAAGAAAACGTGCGCTTTTCCCTTATACATCACATACAGTTTTTGCAGTTCTTTGGCTAAATAAATCAAATAAAATACAATGCCAACACTGCGATTCTTAAACGTTTGTCATTGTCGATTGATATGGATGGAACAATAAGGATGCGTATTTATTTAACCTTAATGTTGAATAAAAGATGACTGAAAGGACCTTGTATATATTTAATTTAATCGGCGGCACGTTGGGAAAGCGATTTGGAACACTTAAATTGATTTGTGTAGGAGGGGTAGAGCAAGTTCGGATTCTTATCCTTCATCATGTCCTTCGTGAAGGAATATACTTCTACCGCGACAACATGGAGAACGATCATTTGAATAACTATATTCCCTACCAAACTAGAAGGTCTGCACAGGTAATGAAGTTCCATTTACGAGTTCTTAGCTGTCCGGGTGGCTGTCCGGGTACCCTGAGGAAGCCTGCGACATGACAGGCGAAACGTCGGCCTCTCAGACAAACAACGTCACCCGGACAGCCAAAAACTCATGAACTAGAGCCGCGGAAGCTTACGAGTACAAGTTACATTTACACCCAGAAGAAAAACAAGGGCCATCTCAGAATTTGTTCAAAGAATCAGAGAAACTGGACGAAAAACCTGAACGAGATGGGGCCATTGACCCAGAAGCTGAGGTACAATATTTGTTACAGGTTGTTTAGAATTATTCAGTCTAAATGGTAAATAATACATTAAATATCATTGTTAAAATTAATATTACTTCCCTTTTTGATGTTCGGTATTGACTATAATTGTATAGAACCAGTTGTGGATCAGAAAAGATATTTCTTGGGACCAGGCATAGCGGATAATATGGGTATGGTGGGTAGAAATACCCACACGAGAAATTCGAGTGAGTAAAATATCCACTTCAGGTTTGGGGTGAAAAAAATATTCCATAAATGTCAAATTCCAGAAATGAACGATGATTTTCGGTATTACGACTCAAAACGTATATCGCCATACTAATATCTTGCAACTCTTAGATTGGACAGTTTCGCAATTTAGAGAATAAACTTAGCCGGGAAACAGAATTTTAGTTCTCTTTCTTGTTGAACTTATAAATACTGAGGAACTCAATTATTGACGATGCTCGATTTGTCATTTACTTTTATTTCATAATTATATTTTATCATAAAGTAAACAGAAAATAGGGGAGGAAATGTGGACTTAGGAGGTTTACTAATTAGCATGACCACATGACATCAACTCTGTTGCAAGATTAGATCAACAATATTGAAATTTTGCACGTTTATAGCGATATGACCGACAAAATCGATTTTCAAAAATTGTTTAAGGAGTTTGTATAAAAAAGAATACGCAGCGCTGTGTTTACGTTGCGAAAATGAACTGCTGAAGCTACATAAAATAAATGTAATAAGTGATAACAATGCGATGACAATTTAATGATAAATATGGCAATTTGAAAAATTGTTTTGTATTTTTGCCTTCAAATAAATTTCTGTGGGATGTGGAGGAGGAACAGAGGGTAGACCTCCCAACCGGGTTGACCACCCTCTCGGACTTATAACCAATCACCAGCCCTGCTCGGGTCTTAAACTTTATATATGGATTTTAATCGTTTTATGCCATCTGGAAAAGTGTTGTAAAATAATGTACATGTATTGTTAGTGAATCTTTTGTACTAAGCTGTTGATACTGTCATCTGATGAATATGATAACTTTGTCGAGTGCTGTAGTTCTGGACTTCGGCATTCGCTGAATTCCCGCTCTTGATGAAGTCAGTTTTGACAAAAAACACTGAATCGTAAATCAAGAGAAGAAAAGTTCTAGATTAATAAAGAAATGCTTACAAGAATCACATGGGTGGGATTTGCTTATTGTTCCTACAATTCTTTTTTGTAATCAAAAAGTCTGAGAGTTATAAGATGTATTTCCCCAAAATATTTTGCCCTATCTCAGGCAGGAATGACCATTCGCGAAATAAATACAACGAGCAGTATGCAGGCTGGCTGAATTTGAAAGAATTCTGAACGCGTTGCATAATGATCTTAGTTTTGTATTTAATTTAAGCTATTTAATACCAACATCTAAGACGGAACCTCTGTAAGATGGAAACCTGCCATCCTGGACCAAAATCTCGGAACGCAACGATTTTATACGTAAAAAACCTTTATAAGGTTCTCTTAACGCAGAAACGGAATGGTTTTTAGAGAACGTAAATATATTATAACCTGCCTAAGACGGAAATTCATTTTTAAATTTCTTGCACTATCTTTGGAATGGCATAGTGCGAAGGATCACATGCTCAGGAAATAGAGAAAACGGCGAGTTATTCATGTTACACATGCTGCCGGCGAATCTTTGGCTACACGTGTTAGAGAAAGTAATTTATTATGTATATGAACAAGATTTATCCACTTTTTCGTTACTAGAGCCCGGTAATAAGAGTTATCTGTTAAAATTTGCCGTTTTCCTGCGCTCGATTACAATACTCTCTCCTCTTACGAAGTAAGTATGAGAACGCAAAAATTAACATTGCAAAAGTACAATATTGGTAAGATTTGTGTGTTGAATGAAATCTATTCTAAAACGTTATGTACAATTTTTTAAAAATATTAGTAGTTAAGCGTAGTTTTGCTAATTTTTGTAATTGCAGATACGAATTTTCTGTACTTGGAGTAATAAGTTGCATTGCAATAACGTGAAGCCTGCGACAAGACAGCT